TCCTCCTTCTCCTCGTGCTCCTCCTCCTCCTGCTTTCTCTTCTTCCTCCGATTCCTCCTCCTCCTCCTCCTCCTCCTTTCCTCCTCCTCCTCCTCCTCCTCCGTGCTCTCCCTTTTTCCCTCTCCCCCCCCTCCTCCTCCTCCTCCTCCTCCTCCTCCTCCTCCTCCTCCTGCTCCTACTCCTACTCCTACTCCTACTCCTTCTCCTACTCATCATCATTCTCCCCGCCCCCTCACGCATCCATCAATCCAGCCTCCTCCTCCTCCTCATCGTACTTCCTTGGCTCGGTTCAGCTGTCGCCCTCTTTATTCCCGCACTTCCCTAGACACCTCAACTCGCCTGGGCGTCGTTTCTGGATGGGCTGGCGCCGATGCGCGAAACGTCAACAATTTGTTCTCTGACAGTCGCCACGCTAATCCAAGGTTGCGAGCGGGCCCCCCTTCGGGAGCTCTCGGCGCTGGCTTCGAACCGTTCTGAGTGCCTCGTGGGCCGCCGGGCCGTTCTGGAGCTCTCTGGAAGTCTTGGCCCTTCCGTGCTGTTTTGGGAAGTCTTTCAAGGCGTTTCGGGGGCAGTCTGGGGGCCCCGTCGGGCCGCCGTAAAGATTTCTTGGGGCGCACGGGGCCAACTCATCGGAGTGCCGTGCGAGGCCGTCGCGAGTCTCTCTTGGGCCGCTCTGGGCACGGTGAGAAGGGCGATGGCGCTTTTCCTCGGAGCCTCTGCAGTGCGTCAAGAAGCCCAAGCCGAAGCGGCCAAGTCCAGCCCTAGATCAAGGTTTCCCCTCCAGGGCGCCGCAAGGAGCAGCGTCTGCAAGAGAACCAACAGCATCGGCGCGCATGTGCAGCACCCTGCCAACGAGCGCCACACCTCGACGCTGCCTTCCCCGTCTGCGGGAATCCCGGCGGCGGCAGCCAGTTCGTGGCCGATCAGCACGCGGCCCGCTCGGCCGCCTGGAAGAGGCCAAGGCAAACAACAGGGGCACAGGAGCACGGGCGCACAGGGGAACAGGGAGAGAGAGAGAGAGAGAGAGAGAGAGAGAGAGAGAGAGAGAGAGAGAGAGAGAGAGAGAGAGAGAGAGAGAGAGAGAGAGAGAGAGAGAGAGAGGGAGAGAGAGAGAGAGAGAGAGAGAGAGAGAGAGGAGAGAGAGAGAGAGAGAGAGAGAGAGAGAGAGAGAGAGAGAGAGAGAGAGAGAGAGAGAGAGAGAGAGAGAGAGAGAGAGAGAGAGAGAGAGAGAGAGAGAGAGAGAGAGAAGAGAGAAGAGAAGAGAGAGAGAGAGAGAGAGAGAGAGAGAGATAAAGAAGAAATAGAGAGAGAGAAATAGATAGAGAGAGAGGGGGGGGGGGGGGAAAAAGGAGAGAAAGAGAGAAAGAGAGAGAGAAAGCGAGGGAAAGAGAGAGAGAGAGAGAGAGAGAGAGAGAGAGAGAGAGAGAGAGAGAGAGAGAGAGAGCCCAGGATAGAGAATGCCGTGAAGGGTCGGTTTGCCCTGGCGGCCTGAACCAGAGAACCAGAATTCCGAATTGCCCCGCAATGGGCCCGCCAGCAGCGCCCCTGGCGGCAGCGGCTGCCTGGCGCCCAGGCCCGCGGACAGGTCCACGACGAACCCGTGGCCCCTGCACTCCGCCGATGCAAGAGCGAGCAAGATCTTCTTCTTGTCGTCCAGGACGCGGAACCATCGGCTCTCGCCGAAAAGAGCGTCGGCCGCGGCCACGGTCGGCATCTTCACCTGGTTCCGCAAGCAATACTCGAGAATGCCCTTCTGCCAGCCCACTGGCAGGGCGCGCGTTTGAACCGCCTCCCGCTGCAGAATGGAATCGTCGATGTAGTCCGACCACACCGTCGCCGAAGCCTCCGCAAAAGCCTCGAAGGGAGGGCCGCGGATCTGCCGTGCCTCGACGCTCTCTGCGAACACGCGGAAGAACTCAGTCCCCGACTCCATGTTCAACAGGGCGCCCCCGCGCGCCGCCAACAGCCACCTGCTGCACTTGCTGAAAGGCGCGCCGTAGTCCGCCGAGTCCACGACGAAGGTCAGACACTGCCACTCGTCGGTTTCCTGCAATTCGTCGTGCGGGATGCTCTCCCCCGGCCCGTCCGTGCTCTCCACGAGAACGAGCTCGCTGTTCTGCGCCGCATACTGCAGGAGAATGCTGGCCGCGCTGGCGCCGCTGGCCCCCGGGCGCCTCCACGAACAGCTCCCCAAGAGCAAGGCTGGGCCCCCCCTGGCGCGCGCAGCAGCACCTCTGGGGAGGCAGCCGATGCCCCGGATTCCGTCGTCCACGCTCCGCCCAGATCCGCCTGACGGCGCGCACCACCTCGCGAACACTTCAGCGCGCTGATTCGCCATGGTGCTCTTAGCCGCGTCCGTGCGGCAGTGGACAGCGATGCGAAAACCCTCCGACAAGAGACCGTGCTTCTGGAACACCCTCTGCAATTCCGTGAGCACGGGCGCCGCGACGAGCATTCCGTCGCCAAACGCCGCCACCGAGAGCGCCTGGGGCATCGATTCCGTGACGTACGCGGCGTGCTCTTTGAGGACGGGGGGCATATAGGCGCCCACCCACTCCCCGAAGAATCGCAGCGCATGTCCACTAGCAACCGCGGCTGCATCGATCGCCTTCGGGGCTGGCCAAGCTGGCAACCAGTCATCTCCGATGACCTCGGGGTCTTCCTCGCGCGGCTGCTCCTCCTCTCCGAACTCGCCGCCGTCGCCGCCGCTCTCCTCGGCAAGCTGGCGCAGGTCGTCAGCCTCCGCCTCCACGTCCGCGGCCGCCGCGTCGGCCTCTACTTCCGACGACGCCTTGCCGCGCTCCTCGCTCGCTGCCCGACCCTCTCGGTCGCCGCCGCCAGCGGCGCCCTCGCGACGCACGGGGTCTGCCGAGGCGTCGTCTTCGGCGCGCCCAGCAGCGCCAGCTTCTGGCAAACCTTCCAGCGGCCCTCGAGCTTCCTCCTCGCCCGCTGTCACAGCCGCCTCCGCGGCTTCCCTGGCACTCGAAGCGGCCGCCGGCCGCCGAAGAGCGGAGGCCGCGGCCGCCCTCTTACCCGCACTCGAGGCCGGCGCCTCGGCCGGCCTCTTCTCGGCCCCGCTGGCGATGGACGACGGCGCCTGCCTGGATAGGCGCGCTCGGAGCGGCGACGAGCCTTCTACAGTGCTGGCCCGCGCCGCCGCAGGCGCCACGAAGTTGTCGAGGTCGAGGCGCCCCCAGCGGCTCCCATCCGGGAGCTTCGGCAGTTTTTTCGGGGCCATCAGCCGCGCCGAAGCGGGCCGCGCGCCGAGGCGGCCTGGCCGCGCGGGCCCACTGCGCCGCGCGCCTTGAGCCAGAAAACTCTGGAGGGCAGCCTACTGACCCCATCGGGGCCCTCTCGAGGCCCCCCCGCGGTTCCCAAGGCACATGTCCACGGACCAAACAAAAGCCTGCCCGGTTGTCTCACTGCCCGCCCTCCGCAAGGAGTGAACCAGATAATGAATATTATGGCCCTGGTCTTTCTCACCCCTTCCTCCCCCCGCCCCCCTCTCTTCCTCCTCCCTTCCTTCTCCCTTCCTCCTCCCAGTATCCCCTCTCCTCCTCCCGCCCTCCTCTCTTCCTCCTCCCCTCTTCCCCCCTCCCTCCCCCCTTTCTCCTTTATTCCTCCTCCCTTCCTCCTTCCTTACTCCTCTGTACCTCCCCCCTTACTCCTCTATTCCTCCTCCCTTCCCCCCTTCCTTCCACCCTCTTCCCCTCTTCCTCCCCTTCCGTGCTTCGGGCCGATCGGGGATTCGACTTTTCTGTTCCGTGGATGGGAACATGATCTACCTTTGTAGGCTCTGTTTACCTGTTGCAGGAGCGTGCCTATTGCTTCCATTAGGTCTCGTGCGCCTTTGCTGCTGCTGCTGCTGCCGTTGCTGCTGCCACACCAGGGGCCCAGGAGCGCCAGGCGAGCGAGCTAATCCGAGTCAAGGGGCGGCAACTGGCCCGCCACGCAGGCAAGTGGCAGCAGCAGCAGCATCAGCAGTAGATCTGCCAACGGCCGAACCCCTGGCATCTGTAAAATGGTCGTCGTCCTCCTCCTCCTCCTCCTCCTCCTCCTCCTCCTCCTCCTCCTCCTCCTTCCCCTCCATCCTCCTACCCACCCATCCTCTTCCTCCTACAGAGCGAGGGGGGGGAGGGAGAGCAGCAACAAGAGCAGCAGCAACAACCAGAACCTTCGGCGGACAGGAACCGCTCTTGCTCTAACAGGGCGCGCCCTCGGCGCGCGAAGACTGGCTTGAAATGCTGGCAACTGGCAGCAGCAGGAGCAGCATCCGCAGTTGATCTGCCTACGGCCGACCCCCTGGCAGGTGTGCGATGGCCCTCCTCCTCCTCCTCCTCCTCTTCCCCCTCCCCTTCTCCCCTCTTTTCCTCCTCCTCATCCACGGATCCCGATTCGCCTGCCTGGGGCGGCATCGGTGCAAGTTTCAAGTCTGTTGCGTCCTCGTGGACGCGCCCAGCAGAGTACGGCAAAACCCTCCTGCGTCTCCTGCTCCTCCTCCGCCTTGCTTCCCCCCCCCATCCTTCCTCATTTTTTTGCAAAGCGAGTGTCAGACTCCCCTCGACTAAGCACATCGCTCGCATTGTCCGCAGCAAACTTCCGAAGCTGGAAAAGCAAGGCCTGTGGACAACCCCCGTGAGAGACCGCCACGGGCTGTCACTGCGCCATTCCCCTGAACTCTAAACCGAGCGTCAGCCCGCAGATCGCAGTGCATATCTCGCGCGCTGGACCTCCCCCCGCCGCCTCGCTCTATCTCCTGCGCCCCCCTGCCTCCCGCGCCCCTCTCGTCTCAGCGAGGCGGCCCCTGGGCGCCGGCCGCTCGACTGGAGAGCGCGCCAGGCGCCCCCGCCGCAAAGAAAAACACCACCGTGCCCCCGGACTCCTGCAGCGCGCACCAACGCGGCCTTGCGCGCGGACTTGCACACAGGGGCGCCGCCAATGCTGGCTCTCTTCGCCGCCAGAACCGCTGGGGAATGCGGCGTCGCCTTTGGAAACGACGCCGTGTCGCCCACCCTGGCCCTCTTGGCGGCCCCGGGCGCAGCCCGGGCGCACCCTTTCTGGTCAGTGCCGCCGGCCCCGCTCCCAGGCGCGCTGTCTGCTGCACCGCTGGCGCCCTCCGCCTCGCTCTCCCCGCTCACTGCGCGGCCGGCGAGGATCGCCTTCCCCGCGTTCAGAAGGATCTCGGGGATCAGGCGGCCCTCGAGCGCGGGAAACTCCTCCTTCGTCTTGTCAGGCTCCTCTGCGACGCTGATGAGGTTCTTCATGGCATCGCGGACCTTCTGCTTCTGCTGGGTCAGAATCCTCGACTGGCCTTTCGCCTCCCAAATCGACGACGTCACGTTCGCGCACCAGGCGACCAGGAAGAGCCGCTGTCGCAACTGTGACGTCATGGAGTCCACCTGCGACTCAAGATGGGGGTCGCGGTACACCTCCTTTATGAGAGAGAAGCCACCGATCACCTGGAGCGAACGCGGGGTGGCGAGGAGGAGCCGCGGCGGAATGCACTGGGAACGAGGGGAGCTCGGTGGGATGAGACAGCGGGGGACTGGTGAAGGAACACGAGGAGCTGGGGAAGACGGCGAACAAGGATCTGCGCACCTTGTTGACAGCATCAACCATCTTCCCACCCTTGCCGCCGAAGGTCTCCGGCATGTCCACGGTGCCACCGACAACCTTTAAGAACTCGGCCGCTTCCTGCAGCGTCTCGGGGATGGGGCTCCTCTCAAGAAGCTCCTTCGCGGCGCGCACGGCTGGCTCGGCGTCGAACCGCTTGACGGAGCGTTCAGCCCGCTCCTGCGCGACTTTCTCCAGCCATGGCACGGCCTGCGCGTGCAGCTCCTTGCTGGCCCCCACTGCTGCCTCCACATCTTCCAGAGAAGCGTCGAAAGTCTTCGCGATGACCGTCTGGAAGGCGCGCTCCGGCTGCACCATGTCCCCGATGTCCCCGAGCTGGCGCACGGCGTCGCTCGCGTTCTCCCACAGCTCCAGGTTCAGCTCGCCCCCGGCCTGCTCGGCAAGCTCCTTGGCGTCGGCGACGGCCGCGACGCTGCACAGCCACATGTCCGCTTCCTTCCAGGTGTCCTCGGGCGGCTCCGCGCTCAGCAGCTTGGAGATATTCAAGAAGGCCTGCAATTCCTTCCGTTGCCACGCCGCCGAGTCCACGCGCTTCAGAGACTGTTCTGCTGCACCCTTGGCTCTGGCCAGAACGCTGTGGCCCAAGGCCCTGCGCACACGCGCCGCCGTGCCCAGCGCGAGGGAGAACAGCGACTGCAGCCCCTCTACGTTGTCTTCCGCAGACACTGTCACGCCAGAGACCTTCAACAACGCCTCGGGGCTCTCCTTCAAGAGGTCGCACAACCGATTGGCTGTCTTCACTGGCTGCTTCATCCCAGGTACGTCGAGACGGCTGTACGCGGCGATGTCGGCGATCTTCTTCAATGCCCCGAAGGCGGTCTCGTGGGGGCCCTTGATGCCATCAGGCGCCCACTCCTCGACGGTCGACCAGCCGTGCTCCAACTCCAGCCGCTCGACGCACGCGGCAGTCAGGAGCTCCTCTGGAGAACGCGTTTCGGCGCCCAAACTACATTGAGAAGGCGCGCTGCTGCAGCACCTCTGGCACAAGGTGTTCTCCTCATCATCCTCCTCCCTCCTCCGCCTCCACTTCCTCCTGATCGTTCTGGCGGTCCGGGGTCCGGGGGTGGTTCATCTGTCTGTGTCCTGTTTCTCGCTATCGGACAAGGAATCTTTCCTCAGGCCTGCTGCGGCTCGCCCCACCTCCTCGCGGGGCGAGCGCAAGAGCAACCCGAGGACCACGTCCTCGAACGCCGCGCCTCGACAGGAGGCAAACACAGGCAACGGCGAGGTCAAACATCCCATGCTCAAGTAGGAGAAAATAAGGCGCGCCGCAGCAGCACCGGCCAAACTAAAACCAATGGCGGATGGGAAACCCTCGAACCTCATCGAACGGACTCGCGATCTTGCGGAGGCCCGCCCGCGGCCTTCCCTGGCGAGTTGGTGCCGGTCGGCCTCCTGCAGCGCGCCCGCCTTGGACGCGGCCTCCTTCTGCTTCTTGCAGGCGCGCGACACCTCCTCTGTCCAATTCTGCCACTGCTCCCCGGCGGCATGGCCCGTCACCTGCGCGAAGAGCTCCCAGGCTGCCTGGGCGCACTGGAGAGCAGCCTCCTCGTGGGACCGCTTCTTCACGGCCGACTCCGCCCAACCAACGAGGACTTTGCCGCCCGGGCTCGTGTTCAAAGCGACGCCCAAGGCCCCCTCCAGCTGCGGGAGCGCCTCCAGCGCCTCCCCCACCTCAGTCAGCGGGGCAGTGCTCGCGCGCGACACTGCCCAGAGAACTTGGATTTGACCCTTCAGCTCCTCCTCCCACACTGGCCGCGCAGGGTCGGCGGGGGCCCGCTGGAGAGCATCCCGCGCGGCGCCAGCGAAGGCAACCACGGCAGCAAATGATCCGCCTCCCTTCTTGGCGTCCGACTTCGCGACGGCCGAAATCAGGCCCGCGCCGACTCGCTCGAGGGTCGTCGTCGCGAGATCTGCCGAGGGCGCGCCATCTGCAGCACCGCTTTCCAACAGGGACATCAGCTGTAACCAATCGCAGCGCTTGATGGCCTCGTCTGCCTTCCAGCTCCTGAACCGCATGTGGTACGCCACGCCGAACGCGATGTCCTCCGCCGCGGCGATCTCGGTGTCTTTCAGGAGAGTCTCGGTGTTCCCTGGCTTCTCGCTCACAGCAGCCTGCGGACTCCTCCGCCTCCTCTGGTCCCCCATCGCTCAATCTTCTTCCTCCTCCGCTTCCGCCGCCTCCTTTGAACTGGGCCGGGGGCCTCCAAGCCCCCGTTCACAAAGAGGAATGAACAACTGAATGCGTACTGTAGCCCCCTCCTCCCTTCCTCCCCCATTCCTCCTCCCTTCCTCCTCCCTTCCGCGTCCCTTCCTCCTCCCTTTCTCCTGCCTTCCGCCTTCCTTCCTCCTACCCCCCCTCCTGCCTTCCCCCCCCCTTCCTCCCTCTCCCCCTATCGTCCTTCTCCTTTCCTCCTCCCTTCCTCCATCGACGACGACGACGACGACCACGAACGCGACCACGACCGCGACCACTCCGCCTTGACGACCCGCACTGCCGCGGCCAGCGCCTCCTCTGAGCGCGCCAGCCACGCCTTGTTGATCTGCAGCGCCTGCGCGCCGTCATCCGGGATCTTCCCCATCTTGGCCGCTGCCTTCTTGGCCGTGTGGATGGCGCTCTCTGCGGCTGCCGCCTGCTCAAAAGCCGTGGCCTTGAAGTGGGCTCTCCCCTCCTTCGTGGACAGGTCCACATCTCCGCTGAAGTCGAGCAATTTGTAACACTCCCGGAACGTGTTGAAGAGCGTGTCGGCCTCGCCCTTGAGTTTCCTGCCGGCCGCTGTGAGGCTGAATTCGAGGGCCTTCCGCCCCCTCTTCTTCGACGCGGAGCCGTCCTCGAGAGGTGCTGGCTCGTCCGGCTGCCCGCCGCCCTCGTCGGAGTCGTCGGGCGGCTGGGCGAGCAGGGGCGCGGCCCACGAACCGCCGCTGCCACGCTTCTTCCCTGGCTGGCTCCGGCCCGAGCGCTGCGGGGTCGCCAAGGGCGGACTGGCGCTGCTGCCGTCGGCTGGCTGCGCCGAGGGCGCGGCCGTCTGAGCAGGGGCGCGGGCGGCTGACCTCTGCGGCGGCGCCTGCGCCGAGGGCGCGGCGCACTTCGAAGGGGCAGCGGCTGCGGGCGTGGCAGCCCCTTTGGCGGCAGGCCTCTCGGCTGTCTGGGCGGGGCGCCCGGACGTAGCCCTCCCGGTCGTCTGGGCTGGTGGTCTGGCCTGCGGCTTGGTCGCAGCCTTGGGCGCGGGCTTGGCGGCGCGGGCCGTGCCCCACAGGCCCGACAGCGCCGCGGCCACGAGATCCGTCTCTTCGGCGTCCTCGTCGCTCGCGGGAGAGTCGGACTGGTGCCCCTCCGACGGCGCGCTCTCTGCTGCACCGATCTCCGCGCACTGCGTGGCGCGCCGCAGGGCTGCAATTGGGGCCACGGCGGCCTCGGCAGCAGCCGCAACCTCAGCCGCGTCCGCGTCGTCGTCTGACTCGGCCACAGTCGCCAGCACCGTCCTGTCCTCCACCTTGCGATCGTCGTAGTCCGCGATGTCGTACAAGAACTTCTTCGCGCCGTCCTTCATGACATATACAACCTGCCAGTAGGAGAGCAGAAAGGGAGGGCATTTCAACGATGAAGGAAGCGAGCGGGAAGACGACTTGGCAGCGCGCCTCCTGCCAGGCGCCGTCGATGAGCTCCTCGCCGCGACAATTCGGGTCCGTGGGCAGCGGCGTCTCAGGGAAAGCCTCGTGCCACTTGCTCACGGGGCAGGCTTGATGCCAGTTCGCAGACAGGCGACGCCCGGAGACCTTGACGGAAGATACCTGGCGAGCCTGCTGGATGTCTCCCGCGGCCTGCCTGGACATGCGGCGGCGCTTCTCTGGGTCCTTCCCCGCCTGGCTCTGGACGTACGCATCCACCTTGAGCCGCACGGTCTGCGCCCGGCCCGCATCCTGGCGCACCCACTTGATGTACTCCTTCAGCGGCTTCTTCTCGCCGCCAGGCAAGTGGGGGTCCAAGAGCACCGCCTGCGAGAGAGAGAAAGAGAGAGAGAGAGAGAGAGAGAGAGAGAGAGAGAGAGAGAGAGAGAGAGAGAGAGAGAGAGAGAGAGAGAGAGAGAGAGAGAGAAGGGGCTGGACCAAGTCGGAATCGCGTCGGACATGGGTCGGGGCCGCGTGGGACTCGAGTCGCGTCGGGCCCCGCGCAGGATAGGCCGGGCGGGGCACCCCTGCGGATCGAGCGGAGGTGGAATGTCCAACGGCAATGCTCGAAGTCGCCTCGCCGCGACCAGAAAAAATGCATTCCTCTGCCGGTTGCCCTTTTTCTCTTGCGCGGAATTGCAATGCGCTGAATTTAAAATTGCATCTTTTTGTGAATTTATTGAAAAAAATCATTTTCCCCCCAAAAAAGTTATGTTCACCAAAACCACTTTTATGTTCACCAGGGCGATTTTATGTTCACCAGGGCGGTTTTATGTTCACCGGCCGGAAATTCAAAAAACAATTATGTTCACCAAAACCACTTTTATGTTCACCAGGGCGATTTTATGTTCACCAGGGCGGTTTTATGTTCACCGGCCGGAAATTCAAAAAAAACAATGGGAAATAGAAAAAAAAACAGAAATAGAAATTTGCAGCCCGCGCGGGCAGAGAAAAATTGAAAGCGGCGGGCTCGATTTCAGCGAAATGCCCCTTGCCCGCCTGCCTTCTTGCGCAACAGGGCCTTGCAAACCAGGCACAAATAGCCCGTGGCCTGGCGGATCATGCTGCCATGGTCGGCGCGGTACTTCCACGGCCAGTATCCGCCGAACTCGTCCTCGTTACTCGCCTGGGGATACGGGCTCGGGTCCGTGCTCTCGTGGGCGCAGAGACCGCACGTGAAGCTGGAACCATCCTTCTCGTTGAAAGGTTTCACCAGATAGCCAGCCCACTGGCCAACCACCACGAGGGCGACCTGAGAGGAAACGGGAGCCAAGAGGGAGGAAAGGAGGCGAGGCGAAAGAAAGGAAGGACATAAGGAAGTGCACAATGACGGGGGCCCCTCGACCTCGAGGCCGTGCAGCATGCGGCCCCGCCGCAACCCCGAGGCCAGGGACGGCGCTTTCTCCGTCTCCCCGTCGGTGTCGGAAGGCGATGCCTTCACCGTCTCCGCGCGGGACATCGCGGGGAGCGAGGGGGCGGGCGCGGCGGCGGGCAGCGAGGCGCTGGCGCGGACGGCAGCTTAGCCGCAGCTCGGGAACAATGCTGCGCCGAGAGACGCGGCGAAACAGCGATTGGAGCAACGATCAGGCGACAGCTGCGCGATTGCAGCGGGCGGCCGCGGCGGCGACAACGGCTCTGAGAAATGCACTTTTACACGCCTACGCTTCGTATCTGTCCTGGCGGGAAGATCACCCGCCACTGGCCCGCCTCTCCTCCGAGTCCCTCCAAGGCTGGCTCTCGGGCATGCCCTCGAGGACCGCGCGAGCAGCGGCGATCTGCGCTGGCGTGGGCACCTTTTGTTTATGGTCTGCCTTGCTCCCGCATCCAGGGGCCCCCCCCAACCACCACCACAAAGCGGCCAATGGTCTGACCCTCGATTGCTGGTTCCATGAACAGCCTGGATGGAGGCCACAGACGGCGCGCATGTCGCAGACGGCGAGGGCCTCGTTCTCGACAAGGCGAATGTAGTGAGGACGGCCAGCCCCAGCGGGATGTGGGAGCTGCGGGCATCGGGCGACGCGCGGGCGCCTCGGCGCGCCCGCGGGGGGCGGCGGCGGCGCCGCCGCCGCAGCGTGGCCGCCCAGCGGCCCGTGCGCCAGAGCGGCGTCCGGCGCTGCTGCGGGAGGCGCCTCCGCTGGCGCGCCTTCTGCTGCACCCTGCGCCCCGCGACCTCTCTGCCGCCAGGCGGCGGCGGCCTCCCAAGCGGCCTTCCAATCCTTCGCGTAGTCAGGCTCCTCATCCCCGCCACGCGCGCCGCTGCCCCCCCCGTCGGCGGAAGCCCCGCCAGGGCGGGAGTCGGCGAACGCCTGGAACCAGCCCGTCGCCAGGTCAACGTCCTTCTCGTGGAGGCGTGCCTCGTGTAAGTCCCGCTCCTCCGCCCAATCGACCGAATACTGCAGCTCTGAGCAACCCATGCGCGGGCGCGCAAGAAGTTCGACCCAGCGCAGCTCAGCCCGGTCGCGCCCGCACACGCGTAAGATGTGGAGGGCGACGTCGATCTCAGTCATCATCTTCAACACTCTGCGGCCCTTCCTCTCCACCCAACACCGGCGCAGAGAGAATGGCACCTCGGGGGGCGCCGCGCCGAGCCCGCATGGCTGCCCCACCACGTCGCACTCGCAGAACTCCCCCGTGAAAATAGGACTTTTCAAGTGCGAGAAGTTGCGAATCATCACGCAGCCTCCAGGCCCTGAAACCTGGAGGGCCATCATCTTCCCGACAGTCTTGCACCTCGCAGGGGCCACCAACAACCGCAAATCTTCCACTACGCCTTGGTACTCCCCCCGCAAGTCGGCGACGCCGCCAAGGCATTCTGCCGCGCGCGTGCAGCAAGGCCGCTCAGTTGGGAGGCCGCAGCGAATGAGTCCTGGAGGCGCCACAGCAGCATTGTACATTTCGTCAAACGACACGGCCGTGGCTTCCACGAAGGATCCCCTCTTCAGCTTCGCATCGACATGTGCTTGCACGGCTGCGGAGACAAGGTCCTCGGACAAGGGGAACTCGTCTGAGCCGAGACCCCAAGGCCAAGCAGCTTCGTCCGACTGGTCAACGTGGTCGCGACAGATGCGCACGTACTCGTGCAGCGGGTCTGGCTTCATCCTCTCAGCCTTGTTCGCGCGCCGAGCCGCCTCTCTCCAGCTTCGCCTCTCGGCCTCGGATGCAGCCCGCCAGTCCGCGGCCGCCTGTAGATACAGACGCCGCTCGTACTCTCTCGGGTCTGCCCATGGCGCCCGCGGCTGCGAATCTCGCAGATCAGCCACGCGACGGTGGTAAAACATATAATGGCCCAACCTCTTGCGCCGCTGGTTGCCTCCTTTGCCTTGGGCCCAGATCGGTTTCGAGTGGCCGCTCTTCTGCAGGAGTCGGCCCCGCTTGGTGCGCAAGTCGCGCCCGCGGCGCCTTCTCCGCCCCTCTTCGTGACAGCGAACAACCTCGGAGATCGCGTGCTTGGCGGAGAGCGTCGCGGCGTTCGGAGGTCTGTTGTTCATCGTCTGGAGGTGGGCTCTCATCCGCGCAAAAGCCAATCCCACGCGCCCTTCAGGGCGCAAGTGGTCTAGGGAGATTCCTCTTCCAACCCCCATTCTTTCCCGTTTGCGGAGGGGTCTACCCCTCTCCCGCGCCCCCTCCCCAGGACCTGGGCGCGGGGGCCCGCAATAGGTTAGAGCGTCAAGAATGGCCCAAGACGGCCCCTAGGGTCGCAGACCGCAGCCGTGAAAAAGCCAACTCGCCTGGGCGACGTTTCTGGATGGGCTGGTGGGGATCTGCGCAACGCCAACAATTCGGAATGCACCGTCGAGGCCATCGCGTACCTAAAGCACGCGGAGAGAAAGCGCTGCACCTCTGGCAGGAAAAGGTCGTCAACGCCCGTGGTGCACATCTTCCTCAGCCTCAAGGAGAACCCCGAGTCCAGGCAACACTCGTTTGCCCGAAAGAGTTCTTCGCCTTCTGCGCGGCGGGCCCCCATGTCCAGGGAGGCGTCCACGAGCCGCATGGGCCTCCATGGGTAACCGCTCAAACGAATGTCGAAGCGACGATAAAAAGACCCAGTGAATACGTGGACGATGGCGTCTGCTTCGCGGAGGACCTCGCCGGGCCAGGACGCGAGGGGGCCGTGCAGGGCAAGCGGCAATCTCCACAAGTCGTAATGTCCAGCTGCAGCGGGGTCAAAGGCTGAGCTCAGCTGAGCGAGCGTGTCAAAGACGACGCTCTTGCAGAATGACGACAGCGCAGACCCCTTGGGGTCGAGCCAGCCATGCAAAGACCCACGTTTGAAACATGCGTAATGGAATCGCATCCCCACGGCGGCCACGGCCACCCACAGGACCAGCCGTTGCCGCGCAAGTAGATCGGAGAGAAACCTCATCATCTTGACGGTGCGAACATGCTGTTCACGCCTGAAATCCCCCAGGCCCGCTGCGCCGCTGCCGCTCTCGAGGCCGACATCTTCCCGCCGCATGGCGCGCGCAGCAGCGCCGCGCGTCTTCTCGAGCGCACGCGGCAGCAATCCATGCAAGGAGATCAACAGCAGCAAGACGCACGCGGTGGGATGCACAGTGTTCCAGCGGTTCAACGCGGGCACTGCCAAACGCCTGCGCAAAGGAACCATCACCGCCGCCACCGCTCTGTCGACAGACTCCTGCCTGTTCGCGCAGCAGTCGCGGCCCCTGCAATGGTGCACAGGCCTCTCTTGAGACACGTCGCCGGTGAACATCTCCTTGATCAAGTCGACCTCTGGCTTGGTGAGGCCTCTACGTTGGCCGCGCGCCGCTGTCACCTCCTCGTCCTCCACGTCCTCATCCATCTGGCGGTCGCAATACCCGAGCAGCACGTCGAGCTTCCCCCTGTCCGCTGGATTCGGCGCGCCCCGCCGCACCTCCAGACCAGCCTCCTCGTCCGACAGGATTTGCCGCAGAGCTGTCTCGAGGGCCCGCAAGTTGGCCCCTGTTTGAAGTGTCTGACAATGGAAAACATGCCGCCGACGACCCCCGTCATGTCCCCGACCGACTGCAAACATATTGCGGTTTGATGCTGCAAACAAAAAGAAGGCAACAGGAGGACCCACCAGGGCAACGTCTGCAGCAAATATCTGCACACCAGCCCGTTTGCGGCCACAGAATCGACGCTCGGGTACAAGCACGCCAGCAGCGCCGACGGCCAGAGCTCATCCATATCCACGCGCAACGCCCGCGCGAGGCCTCCGAGCATGCAGTCGGCGGTTGCAGATTCCAGCACGGACGGTGGGAAGATAAGCTCTTGGCTGTGGACGCGGAGGTCCTCGTCTTCCCAATGCAACACGCCGTGCTGTGTCATCACTTGCTGCCCACAAG